TGGTTCGCAGTTCATTGTTGAGTGTTTGTTCTTTTGTTGATTTTAAAAATTTTAACCATATGATTGTTGAGAGGGAGTTTGAATTTTCTATAATTAATGTGCCCAAATTAAATGTTTTTGTTATTTGTTTGTACAGGCCGCCCAGTGGGGATGTCACTATGTTCATTACTAGGTTGGAATTGCTTCTTTCAGGTTTTCCTTTACATGCGTGGATTATTCTGGCTGGTGATTTTAATATAGATTTCACAGATAAAACACAAAATCGTTCGCAATCAGTATCAAATTTGTTTGACTCTTTTGGCTTAACTATGCATGTGGAGGAGCCTACTCGAGTTACTCGATTTTCCTCAACTTTAATTGACTATGTATGTTCAAATAGAATAAGTGAATTTGTCTTCTGTTCTGTACTGAACGCGGGCCTATCGGACCATGAAGCAGTATTATGTAACTTTAAGATTTCGAAAGCGAACACTAAACCAATGAGGAAGCGAGGTAGGCTCTACACAAGACAGAATTATGGTAAGTTTTCGCAACTGTGTTCTGACAGCGACTGGGGTGGTGTCTTGTTTTCGCCTGATCCTCTGGCAAAGTTTCACTCCTTATTGTCTTGTAACTTTAACATTGCTTTTCCTCTTAAAACCTTGAAGAAGAACAACAGAGAGCCATGGTTCACTAAAGGACTTAGAGTATCTGCCCGAAATATGCGTTCCTTGCATATGCTTCGAAAACATTTTCTTGATAATACATTTTTCATGTCATATTTTACTGAATATCGTCAAGTATATAGAAAATTAATTAAATTTGCCAAACAAAAGTACTATTCTAATCGAATAGCACACTCTAATAATAGGCAAAAAGAAAGTTGGGACATTGTTAAAGAGTTGATTGGCAAAAAGGGTACATCTACTAACTCAGGTCTTACTCCTGAACAATTAAATTTATTTTATTGCTCAGTAGCAGATAATCTATCTTCCAGGATCAGTCCGGCAGTTGATGCTCTTAGTTTTCTTGGGGATTTGTTCATTCCCAATTCATTTTATTTTTATCCGACCGATATTCAAGAACTTCGAACTGTATTTACCAAGATAAAAAATTCGAACTCTTCTGGTTGGGATGACATTTCATTGAAAATATTTATAAGACTTCCAGATCACGCGCTGCAAACCCTTGCGGAAGCAATTAACAATTCCTTTGTTACGGGAACTTTTCCTTCTTCTTTGAAGTTGGCCAAAGTTATTCCATTGTATAAAGGAGGAGACAGCGAGTCAGCCTCAAACTTTAGGCCAATTTCATTACTTCCAACCTTGTCAAAGATTGTTGAAAAACTTGTGAAGAGTCGTATGGTCAGCTACATAAATGTACATGGTTTTTTGAGTGTGGATCAGTTTGGTTTTCAGGATTCAAAGAGCACAAATGATGCTATGTTCTCTTTATTGAGAAGTGTGTATGTGGGATTGAATGATGGAGAGGTTGCGGCAGCAATATTCTGTGACCTCACCAAAGCGTTTGATTGCGTGAATCACAGAGTATTGCTCCGCAAGCTTGAAATGTATGGTTTTAGAGGCACGTCACTGGACTGGATATCGTCTTACTTGTCTGATCGCCATCAATCGGTACGCTTTAATGGTCAGGAATCCGAGTTTCAAGCTATCACATCCGGTGTTCCTCAGGGCTCGGTACTGGGCCCTTTGTTATTTTTGTTGTACATTAACGATCTCTCAAAGATGAATATATCGGGTGAATTCACGATGTTTGCTGATGATACGACGATTTTATGGCGTGATAGGAATACAAAGAACTTGGAGCTTAAGATGAATATTGATATTTTAAGAATCAAAGAATGGTTCAATTCAAATTTTTTAACCCTCAACATTTCGAAAACAAACATTGTTTCTTTCAAGTGTCACATAGGAGATGTTTTTCTAAATACCGAGGTTGTGCAAAGTTCACATATCAATAAATTTTTGGGCCTACATATTGACGATAAATTGAAATTTGAAAGCCACGTTTTTCAGTTGAATAAAAAACTTTCGGGTGGGTGCTTTGCATTGAGGACAGTTTCTCGAGAGGTAGACATGTCTATGGCAAGAAATGTATATTTTGCGCTGATTGACTCTCATTTACGGTATGGAGTCTGTTTTTGGGGATCGTGTTCTGATCAACTGTTTAACTCAGTTTTTATTCTGCAGAAGCGAGCTATTAGGTTCTTATGTAAATTAAATATCCGAGAATCCTGCAGACCTTATTTTTTGTCGCTCGGAATATTAACACTGGCATGTATATTTATATTGGAATCAGTCTGCCTTACGCATGACAAGTTCCACAATGAGATCCTGACTGCTGGGGCTTATGCAACTCGGTCATCGCACATTGCTCCTCTACCTATCCCCTTAACAACGCTAGTAAAAAAATCTGTTATCTATAATAGTAAAAAGCTTTTTAACCACCTGCCTTCTAATGTCCGTGAGATATGCAACAAAGAGCAATTTAGGGGGAAGGTAAAGAGGATACTGGTTGGGAGGGCTTACTATTCGGTTGCTGATTTTTTCAGTGATACTTTTGCTTAGTGTCTTTTCGTTTACAGTTTAGTTTGTCTTATATTTTACTCACTGACTTATTACTTTATACATGTCTAGTATTCAAGTATGTTACCTTTAATGTCTTTTAATGTGTTATTTTAATCTATGTAGTTTATTTTATAAGAGTATTTTAGCAGCACAGTCTTGTTTCATTTTATTTGATGATTTTTTTTTTTTTTTTTTTAATTTTAAGCGTGTATTTGCTACAACTTTTATTTTTAAGTTTGCTTTGATAAAGAGATGTTATAATTCTTATATCAATAAAGCTATTTTTGACTTTGACTTTGACTTTATCATCAACCATAAGACCCGTTCTTGTCACAGCCGGACCTCTATGGCCGGACCAGTGTTTTTCTCATGCATATCGATTCTTTGACAATGCTTGCAGTCTTCCTTGCATGGCCGTCTAAACAAAGCGTCAGCATTTTTATGCAGGTTTCGGACGTTTAATTTGGAAATCGTATTGCTTTAGGAGTTTTAATTTTTAAAACCCATTTCAGAGCTGCGTGATCCGTTCGAATTAGAAACTGACGTCTGTAGAAATACGTATGGAAATGGTTGACTGCTTTTACTATGGCAAGTAACTCTCTTCTGGTGACACAATAATTTCGTTCTGGCTTTGATAAGGTTCTGCTATAGTACTCTACGACATGCTCTTGTGAATTTTGGATTTGTGAAAGGACAGCTCCAATACTGGTGTTGCTTTCATCTGTGTCCAAAATCAACATGCCTTTCTGATCAGAAAAGGAGAACACTGATGGGCTTGTACCTACATAGTGCTCCTTTCAATTTTTTAAAAGCGGAATCGCATCGCATTCTTGGGGCTAATTGAATGTTGCAAATCTTTCTACAAATAATAAGAACATTATCCTAGAAAACTCCTTACTTCATGTTTGTCGCGTGGCTTTGGCCAATGTCTGACGGCATTTATCTTTCCTTCCATAACTTGTATGCTATCTTCAGATGTAAGAATTCCACTTTTTTTTGAAAAATAAAATACTTATTTGGATTGATTTTTAAGCTGGCATTCCGGAAGCGGTTAAAAACTTCTTTCAGGTTAATGAGATGTTCTTAAAACGAATTTTCCATGATCATGACATCATCTAAATATACCAGGCAAGTTCTCCATGTAAGGCCTCGCAAAATAAGATGCATCAGTCGCTCAAATGTAGCTGGAGCATTACACAATCCGAAAGGCATAACGTTAAATTGGTATAACCCGCTACTGGTACTGGAGGCAGTTTTCTCTTTGTCATCTTTGTGTATTATTGCCACTTACCAGTATCCACTTTTGAGATCTAAGGTGAAAAACCAATTGGAGCCCGACAGAGTTGTTAATATGTATCGTCTATCCTCGGAAGAGGGAAGCTGTCCTTCTTGGTGATGTCATTAAGCTTACGGTAATCCACAGAAAATATAATAAGACTTCCATCGTTCTTCGTACCAATACCGCAAAGACTACTGGCGCAGACCATGGCGGGCTATTTGACTTTTCAATACTTTTTTTCCAAGTTACGACATTATCGATGTCATAAGTACCCACCTAGAAACCTTCGTGAAGTGAACCTTATATCGTTACGTGTGGCTTTAGTTTTTTCTTTTTTTCAAGAAATTCTCTGACTTAAATTTTGAGAGAACAATAGATAAGTAATGCGAGTCAGACATACAATACAAATGGTCGAATAAGAGGTAAACATAAAACAACTAAAATGGTACAGACACGTCACGACTGACTCTAGAGTCCAGAAAGGCACTCTAAATGGACACCAACGCCCAGAAGAAGAAGAGGAACACCCAGAAAGAGTTGGAAAGAAGAGATGTAATGTGTAATCAAAAAGACGTCGAATGAGCCTTGATCTATCAACGCATTATTACATTAAAAGATTTTGTTCTCCAACCAAAATCAAATCAGAAGAAATAGTCAAAATTTGATTTTTCGTGTAAAATGTTCCAGTTACTCTTACCCTAATGATTTAATTATTTATAAAACAGAACACTTTGTTTGTTGATTACAAAAATCAAATAAAGTGAAGGCATTCTGAAATCCGTGATAATCCGGACCTGAACGAAAGTCCCGTTTGTTTTTGTTGTCAGCGCCTCCTACCAGCGAAGAGATTAAGCACGATAAGAGCACCAAAACGTATTTACTCACTACAGAAAAGTGCTTTATTATTCCTTCTAATCAAATACCTTACGAGAATGGCAGTGCCTTAAAACTTAATTTTCCTCTCTCATCATCAATGTAATCGACGTTGCATGCAAAAATGAATGGAGTTTAAAGTGATTTCGCGTAAACGCAACACAAAACGGTTCGTAACAATAATAAAAAAGAAGGCTGTGAAAACATAATTATTAAGGAATCACCATCATATTATAAATAATTAAATGTTCAGTGTACGTTTTTGTTTTGTTTATTAAATCATGTTCAATGTACCGTCAAAGTTTTATCAGTTGTGTCGATTATGCTTATCATTGGAGGGCGATAACAATAGGAACTCCACCACGTTATCAGTTTTCGATAAGGACGAGGATATCCCAAGGAAAATCCTATATTGCTTGTCAATTTCGGTAAGAGATGATTCACCTTTGTTGTATAAAATCTGTTTTAACCTAAAATCAGTGACAACCATCCTTTTGTTTTTGCCTGATATCCGAGCCCCGCTTTGCATGTACCATCCAACTATTTTTAGAGATTTTAACAGTGATATAAATAATACATTTTTTGTTGTTTTGTTTCAAAACCCAACATCTGCCTGGCGTGGGCCTCATTGCATTGTAATCATTGATTACAGTGGCCCAAATAAAAAAAAATGGTTCTTTTAAACTCGGCTATACCCGACTGAGATACTGGAAATAGAAAGTTTTTGGCAAGATACATTAACCAGATAAGATGGTTCTAAAATGATAACACATCGGTTCTTTGTTAAAGGCAAGCGAGTTCTTTATTACACGGCTCACCTCTTGAAATAAAAATACCCAGGACCGGTTCGTTATCAGTTTATTATAATACCTAATAATAAAAGCTGGTTTTAACTTTGGTTGTTGCTTAAAAGTTGAAACAATAAGAAAAAAACCTCTTCAACTGTGAATGTTGTTATTTCGCTGCTTATAAACCTGATTCGTGTAAATGATAATAAATGCTTGAAATTATGTTTATTACCTGCTGGTGTCGCATTAATTATTTCCATTTTGATAAACAATCATGTTGCTATGTTGCAACTCGAGTCGAATTGAAAGTCGGTAATTTAATTCTATAATTTCCTTTGCAAGGTGGATTTTTTTTATCAGTTATTGTTAAATTGTAACGTAATTGTCTACAGAATCCGCCACGGAATTAGATTATTATAATTCATTGTTCTTTTACAAAGATAACATGATAGGTATCTGAAATTCTCTGATTTTATTTGGCATTACGTTCTCCAGATATTCAACAGTAATTTTCACACGATTTTTAAAAAATTTATTTAAGTACCTAATTTTGATTAGCCATCCAAGTTGAATTTTCTAGTAGGTATTTTAGCAATTATCAGAAACAGGCTGATTATAGCTTATATATACTTTAATTTTAATTCCTAGATTGTTCTTGCTCTTAATATTAGCTAATTATTATTATAACAGGAACATTCTGTGCAATTTACAAGGAGGTCGCCAATCAGTAGCATACTGACAGGTTATTTTTCCTAACTTTGTGTCAAGTTTTGAAAAAGTCTTCAAAATCTTGGAAACAAAGCTGGCCCCCTTTCTGATTTCTTTCAGAGTGTATATGTTGCAAAGTCACCTACAAAGAAAATAACAAATAAAACACATTCTATACCTAAAAACAAATAGCTTTGAAAAACTGGTTTATCCATATATCTTTAACTTGTAATAGGTGATATTATACCCGACAATATGGTTTTCTGCAAAAGAGGAGCCTAGAGTTAAATTTGATAGAATACTCACAGTACATATATGAATCATTCGATACCTTTTGTCAAGTAGATGTAAATTATACTGATTTTAGCAAGGCATTTGACAAAATTTGCCATAACATTATGATTAACAGGCTGGCGGAGATGGGAATCTGTGGTGACCTCCTGAGATGGTTTCAATCATATTTACTCAATAGATCTATGTTTGTTGCCCTGTTAGGGTTTTGTTCTGAAAGATTCACACCATCCTCGGGGGTCCCTCAGGGTTCCCATCTTGGTCCTCTCCTGTTCATGATATACCTACATCAATAACATAGAGTTATGCTTTAAATACTGTTTCTGTGCTATGCTGATGACCTAAAAATATTTCTTAAGACCTCTATTGCAGATTGTGAGACCTTTCAGACTAGTATAAATACCTTAATACAGTTTTGTGATGAAAATCAATTATTTTTATACTTTGAAAAATGCTCAATTTTGTCATTTTCACGAGGATCAACAACAATAAATTATGACTACAAATCAGGAAATACTTCTTTGAACAGGGTTTCTCACATCAAAGATCTGGGGGTCCTATTTGATCCCAAAATGTCTTTCAATCTGCACATTGACAGATTGGTTAATGATTGTAATGGGACTCTTGGACTTATCAAAAGACAGAGTACTGATTTTCATGAGGGGTGTGACACTCCTGAAATCAGGTGTACATTTTGTTCAAAGTCACATAAATCAACAGAAATCATTGAAATCTGTAAAATCAAGCAAAATCCCATTAAATCCCTTAAAATCAATGAAATCTTGAAAAATCCCCTAAAATCATTTGAAATCAATGCAAATCAATTATATCTGAAAAATCAATCGAAATCAAGAAAATCTCTGTAAATCACTTAAAATCATCATAAATCACATAAAATTTGTTGAAATCCTGAAATCGTTGTTTCCTGAAGCAGTGCCTGTACTAATAAAATATTCAAACTTCGCGCCTTTGATGTTTACTTGTTTTTGAGGTTGTTCTATTTTAACCCAATTATTATTATACATAGTCTTTACACAATCTTACACAATCAGTCACAATCGTGACACAATCATTCACAATCATAAATCATATATAATCTTAGCACATTTCTTTAAGGTGGCAACGGCACCCCGCTGTTTCTTTGGTTGCCTATCTTTTGATAAAAGTCTTGTTATGGATTATTTCCATAACCATGCTGAAAATTGAAAAATATAGGCAACTCTGAGGCTAACTCCTTTGCTATTGGAGTTAGAAGGATACGGTTTTAGCGAACGCCAGCTACTTTCTTGTCAAACGGAAGATGGCGCCCACAGATTTGTCATCGCCTTTTTTGTTTTTTAGATACAAGTTTTTGAAAATGTTGCATTTTGTGCATTGAGATATCGGGTCTTCAAAAAAAAAACCAATCAAAGATTGCTTTGATTACGAAAACGTACGTCGCATTATTGTTTCCCTATTGGTCAGGATTTTTGACATGACATTTTGACATTAAAGTTCATTGACAAAATTAAAGAAAGTGCTAACAGCCATTTGCACCGCTATAACTTAAGGGATATTTAATCCAAGTGGAGCTTTGAATGTGACTCTCGTAGAAACAAAAGTCACATTCAAGAGCTCCACTTAAATTAAATATCCCCTAATATCCGTTAAGTGATAGCGGTGCAAATGGCCATAAGACATATATGTAATGACCATTGTTCTGTAAATTTTAATCCTGTTTAGTTTTAGAGTTACCGTCTTTCACTGTACGTGAGTTTATGTTGTGTATTTTCGTAAAAATTTTATACTTAGACTTAGTTTAGATTGTGATTTGTTGTTTATGAATTTCTTTTGTATTTTTCTTTTTTACCTTTGTACTTTTGAGCTATTTTTTGCTAATAAAGAGTTATATTATTAATAACAATAACCCATAGCAATCTTTGATTGCTTTTTTTTTTTGAAGAGGAAAAAAAAAATGTATCCACCGCCGTGCCATATTGTTACTACACTTCTGTCTGAGTCTGAGAGTCTGTCACTTTTGTCATAGCAACGTGTCAGAATTGCATCAGGGCTGCATTTTCTATCTGAATATATTTTAAATGCAAAGAAGTGATAGTTTTTATGAACCAAACAGTCCAAACATACGTTTTTTCAAACGAGACACCATTATATATTATAAACTCATTGGATAGCTTTGCTTTTCCTGATTTCATTGCTATAAAGTTCGATAGGTTTATCTCTAGCGAAGTCCCTAACAGTTTTCCAGCAAAAATATTTGATCTATTTTTGTCATAAGAATCAATGTGTTAGAAAGAGACCTTTCTCATTTTCCTCACAGATGTCCTTTTTTAACACATTGACTGCCACGTCATACATTTATGAATGACACGGCCACTTCCGTTCCGGCCGCGTCATTCATATTTGTATGCCGGTTCAGTTTCACTTCTAGGCCATGTCATGCTTTTAGGTATGACAGCCTGTGTATTTTAAATGGAGATATATTTGCGTGGCCCCTGGGGATTCTCAAGGTAAACTTGGCCAGAGCAAATTTTGTTGGGTTATTGTCCAAGACCAATGAAACCAAAAATTTACTTAAAATAGGTATAGTTTTAAGTAAAAAACTGTCAAACACAAAAAAAAAAAAACTAATTCTTTCTGATATATGATGTATATGGGTATATGATGAAATATGAACTTATAATTTACAAAAGGAACAGGCCAAATCATGAATTATTCGCTGGGGGCTAAAAGTTGTATTTCCGTATTTTTTGGCTTTTCTTTTATTTTACAGTGACAATTTACTTATAATTTTGTTTGGTTTTTATTTGTTTGGCTTTTTTGCATTTTTTGTTGTCTCATTCACATATGAATAACGTGGCCGGTGCGATAAAATTTCGTCAAAGTTTTCCAGGGGGCCGCGTCATTCATTTATAAATGACACAACAAAAAATGCAAAAAAGCCAAAAAAATAAAAACCAAACAGAATTATAAGTAAATTTTCACTGTAAAATAAAAGAAAAGCCAAAAAATACGAAAATACAACTTTGGCCCCCAGCGAATAATTCAGGATTTGGCCTTGGCAGTCAATGTGTTAAAACATTGTTTCTTATGACAAAAACAGACATAGGTAATAAAGACAAACCTATAGATTATGGATTTGTATGTCATTGAAATCAACAAAAGCAGAGCTATCCAACGAATTATTAATATACAGGGCGTTTCATTTGAAAAAACGAATGGTTGGTTCATAATTTAAAAACTATCACTTCTAGAGAAAAACTTACTTTGCCACTGGAATCAAAGTAGAAAGATCTATAAGAACCTGTTGTCATCTTCTCAATTACTTATCAGAGAACTGAGATACAAGGGGTGTCCAAAAAGGAAGATTTTCAAATTTGTATCTGATAATTTTGTTGACAGAAAAGTAGCTAACATTCGCGAAAACCGCATCCTTCTAAGTCTAACAACAGCTGAGATATTGTTTGCCCAGCGGATCTGAGTCTACGGCAGGAATTCGGATGTAAATGCGCCATATTGCCATGTTTAATTATAAAAAAGCGAAAATACTAGACATGAAGTATAGTTCATTTGAAAATCCATTTTTTAATTACAAAATATTGATAACAATAATAAAATGCTAAATATTTTAACATGGTTGTTAG